TCACTCCCCTGCCTTTCCACATTAGGATTGCCAAAGTATACGCTGACCTCTTAACCAGAGCACGCTGTCTCCTACAGCCACACACTTCCGACTTATTTATTTTGTGCACTTCTCTGCTGAGTGGAGGAGTTGCTGGTTTTGATTATCGTCCAGTGCCCTTTAAGATGGAAAGTTGGACGGAGGAGCGGGTGTGCCGGTAGCATTGGTTTGGATGTCTGCCTTGGGTTCCCGGTTCCAGCTCTTTTGCTTACACAGACCCTAGGAGGCCGCTTGGGGAGTGAATCAACGGACAGAAGATCTTCCTCTCAGTCTCCCCTCCTCTCTGTATACCTGACTTTCCAATAAGAAATAAAATAAATCTTAAAAAAAAAAAAAGTTGGAGTAGAAGCTACAGTGATTGCAACATGGCTTGGAATGCCTGATTCCGTTATCAGAGCTAGCAGTCCTGTTTCAGAGTTACTAGGTTGGAGCCCCAGTTCTGCCTGCAATTCCAGCCTTCTGTTCATGTACACCCTAGAGGACAGAAGACAATAGGTTAAGTACTTGGTTCCCTGCCACTCAAGTAGGAGGCCCAGATGGAGTTACAGGTGCAGATTTGAGCCTGAAGCAATCATGGCTGTTGCGGGCGTTTACAACGCGATGGGGGAGCTTGCTTTCTCTCTTTCTCCATTTCTGTCTTCCTCACTTTGAAATGTATATAAAGTGCTGAAGTGTTCTTCAGCTGCCTGCATGGACATGCTAAAGGAAGCGGGGAGCATTGCCCCGTGTTTCTGACAAGCCTGCGAAGCGCTAGGCCTTGTGCTTTACGGGAGCGTCTTTGAGTCCTCTCGGCCATCGTATAATTAGCTAAGGAGACAGGAGAGGGGGAATATGTCACCACACCCACTCCCCGAGGTTGTCTCTGAAATTCTTCCCAAGGCCACCAACCTGAAATCGCTGTGACAGTAAACCTGGGGCCCAAGTCTGTCAACATGGTGGCTGATTCCAAGCCCACAATGACATATAGCATATCACAACATCTTTTTTTTTTTAAAGATTTATTTTTTATTATTGTTTTTATTGGAAAGGCGGATATACAGAGAGGAGAGACAGAGAGGAAAACTTCCATCTGATGATTCACTCCCCAAGTGAGTGCAACGGGCCGATACTATGCCGGTCCGAAGCCAGGAGCCTCTTCCGGGTCTCCCACGCGGGTGCAGGGTCACAAAGCTTTGGGCCGTCCTCCACTGCTTTCCCGGGCCACAAGCAGGGAGCTGGAAGGGAAGCGGGGCTGCCGGGATTAGAACCGGCGCCCATATGGGATCCCGGGCATGCAAAGCGAGGACCTTTAACCACTTGCGCCACCATGCCGGGCCCATATCACAACATCTTTATTGCAGAATTGTGATGGGTGACATCAGATCCCTGGTGACATGACACTTCTGAGACCTCCTAAAAAGTCTGGGGAAGAAGCAGACACCAAGTTCCTGGCAGACTGCCATGCCTATATTTCTATTTACTTTACAGACTTCAGATCCTACCCTCTCTCAACTGCAGGCTTGTCTTTCAAAGCCTGCCCTTTGGGGCCCGGTGCAATAGCCTAGTGGCTAAAATCCCCACCATGCATTCCCCAGGATCTCATTTTGGTTCCTGGCTGTGCCTTGCTTCCCTGCTTAAGGCCTGGGAAAGCAATAGGAGATGGTCCAAAGCCTTGGGATTCTGTATTAGGACAAAAATCTCTTAACTCCTGGCTTTGGATTGGCACAGCTCCAGCTGTTGCGGCCATTTGGGGAGTGAGCAAGCAGCTGGAAGATCTTCCTCTTTGTCTCTCCTTCTCTTTGTAAATTTGCCTTTCCAATAAAAATAAATACATCTTAAAAACAAAATAAAACAAAGACTGTCCTTCCAGATCTTTCTAGATGCTTCCGAACTAAAAGCCTTCTTTGTGTCCCTGACCCTTGCATTTGCCTTGCTCTGCACAGGATCTTTGTTGCATGACAGCATATGGCACTGGGTGCACATTGCAGTTAGTGACAGTCACATGTTCTCTCCAGGTGAAACTACGTGCAGCATTCAGGAGGTTCAGCAGTGTGCCTTGGGGGCTTCAGATGGAACCAGTTGAATCCCCTTTGACGTACAGCCTTGGACATGCTGGGACTTGGCCCAGCTCCCTCAGGAGCCAGTGGTAAGACCCATCCCTTTCCTCTCCATGGGAATCAGCTTCTCTGAGCAGTGCCCCCTTTGTCTCGGTCCAGCTCTTCTGGAAAGGGAGCACAAACAGGAGCAATCAAGCGTCAGTGCTTGAGCCTACAGGGAAATTCTTTCACTGAGATAGAGTCAGTGAAATCACTGCCAGAGGACACAGAGACAACTGTCAGCTGTCACGTAGGAGGAGAGAAAACGACTCCAGTCCTGGTTCTAAAGTGTCTTCGCCAGTACCAGAGTCCGGTGACACACACACATCCCATCAGCCTTTTGGCACGTATGTTTAATCAGTAGGCTCCAAGTGCTTCCTCTCCATGACCAAGATTGTTAAAAATCTCCTAGAAATTTTGAAAGGCAGTGTCAAAGATAGAGGGGTAGATAGCTAGAGCTCTCATTTACTGCTGGACTTCCCAGATATCCACAATGGCCTAGGGCAACCGGGAGCTCAATCCAGGTCCCCCATGTGGGAGGCAGAAGCCCAACCGCTGCGGTCTCCTAGGGCTGGAGTAAGCAGAAGAGCTGGATCTGGGAACCCAAGGCAGACATCCAACCCAGACCCTCCCATGCAGGACCCAGGCTCCTTAACCAGACTTAATTGTTAAGCCAAGTAGCTGCCCAGCCACGATGAATTGTAACAGCCAGCGTTAACTCAGAACATGACTTCATACACACCTGGCCTGAAACTGTGCTCAGTGTGAATGCTTTGATGGTCGCACGAATACATGAATATCCTGAATATATAGGAAAGAGCCTGCAATTCTGGGAGCGTGTTCGAAGAGGTACCAAGGTCAGCAGACGGCCTGCATCTCTAAGACTGCTGCATTTATCATTTTTATAAAAGAGGAAGAGCAGGTGGTTAGCAAAAAGGTTAAAATGTATACCTGTGAGGCATAGCTGTCTAACACGCCCACGCTGCTGGTGTGAATTGATGAAGTTGACCCATCAGATGTGTAGGGGCAATGAAGAACCACAAAACGCATTCCCAACCTAATGGGAGGCAGCCAACAGTCAGTTGCTGTGTGGGTAGCTCAGTGGTATTACCGGCCCTCCTAATCTCTTCAATGAACCAGAAGTCAGGACCTTTATATGCTGTTATCTATTTTACACCACCTTTTCCTATCTATCTATCTATCCATCAAGATTATTTTTAAAAGATTTATTTGTTTATTTTATTGGTAAGTCAGATACACAGAGCAGGAGAGACAGAGAAGAAGATTTTCTGTCTGATAATTCACTCCCCAAGTGATTGCAATGGCCTGAGCTGAGCCGATCCAAAGCCAGGAGCCAGGAGCTTCCTCCAGGTCTCCCACACAGGTGCAGGGTCACAAGGTTTTGGGCCGTCCTCGACTGCGTTCTCAGAACACAAGCAGGGAGCTGGACGGGAAGCAGGGCTACAGGGATTAGAAACGGTGCCCATATGGATCCTGGCACGTACAAGGCGAGGACATTAAGCCACTAGGCTACTGCACAGGCCCTCATATATATATAAAGGCATTGAGTGAAAAACAGAGGTCTTCCATCCACTGGTTCACTTCCCAAAGGTTCCCAGTTGCCAGAGCTAGGCCAGGCCAGCCAGGAGCCAGGAACTTTATTTGAGACTCTGACATGAGTGACAGGGATCCCAAACACTTGAGTGACCGCCTGCTGCCTCCCAGGGTACACGTTAGCAGGGAGCTCGAATCAGCCGAAGAATCAAACTAGACCCTCTGTCATAGCACGTAGGCGTCCTCAACAGTGTCAGCTGCTGCTTAAATATCTGCACCGTTATCTTATTTTAAAATGCTGCTGTGCAATCCAAACTCTGTGTGAGGCAAAGGGTGGAGAGGAGGAAGAATGAAGGGAGAGAGAGAAGGAAAGAGGAGGGGAAAAAGAGTGCCCAGTGCAGGACAGCAGAGCGCTGATGGGCCCCAGACGTTAGACCTGTCCAGGCAGACTTAGTTGCTTTCTCTTCCCAACAATTAAAGTTGTTATCTAAGAGGCTGAAACCAAGATGTCTTTGGAACTAGATCAGACACAAACAGAACTTTTACTGTGGAACCAACTTGGTAAATCTGCCCACACTTTTTATTGAACACCTAGCATGTGCAAAGTTTGTCACCTCATCCCATTAACAATGAAACACACTAATGAATTACAGGAAACGAAAGCCACATATCCCATACGGGTGGGAATCACTCTTGAGATTCATCCTTCTGTTTTCGCTTTTAAAAACATGATGGAATATAAAGAGAATTGCTTAAAACAAAACAGAACAATACATACAACCATGGGGACATTCAACCCTTCAATTCCCTTCTGAATTTAGAAGGTTAACAGGAAAGTTTCAGAACATGAGGTACCCACTAGCATTTTTCAAAGAATCTTTGAAAGAATCTTTTCAGAAATCTTTCCTTGCAGCCAGTTCTTCCTGCGACGCTGGCGGTGCACAGATCATCAGTGACCGCAGGGGCAGCACCCAGGTAGCCACCGACCCGGAAAGACAAAGGTCCATGATCTTGTATAAAAGAGATAAACGATTGACACGCTACTCTGTTTCGCACAAAAGCTTCCCAACACCTCACTGCCTGTTCAGCCTCCAGCTTCTGGGACTGTTCTGTATCCACTATTTATTTCTTCTGCCCTTATTCTCGGACAACCTGACCTTCCCTGCGGCCCCGGAGAGGCTCCACACCCAGGACCGGACCGGGGTACCTGGCCTCCTCCTTGTTTTTCATTCCAGGTGGCCCTGGTTACGCCCTCCCCTGCCGCATCTGACCTCCCCCCACCCGCACCCCTCCCGCGTACCCTTCCCCCGGTCCCTCCCCAGACCCGCAGCCTCAGCCGTTCCAGAAGTTGACAAAGAAGTTGCAGAGCGAGTGCCACTTCTCGGCACAGTAGGTCTCCGTGAGCTCCGAGTTGGCCAGCAGCCCGTCGGGGTTGGGCCCGCTCCCCAGGGGTCGTTCGCTGTTGGGCTCCGAGGTTGCCTTCTTCTTGCTCTTCCTCTCAGGGAGCTTTTCTGGAGACGGCGCGCTCGTGGGAGGGAGCCCTGCGGTTGGGACGTGAGCGGAATCGCGGGGTCGTCCCCGGTTCCTGGGCCGAGGTCTGGGCACCTCGGAACCGCCCGCGGCAGTAGGACCTACGGGCGGGGACGCACCGCGAGGCACGAGGTGCAACTCGGCGCCGTTGCCTTTCCTGCCGGCGCACAGGCGGGCGCGCAGAGGCGCGGGGTCCTGGCATGGCTGCCTCTTCTTGCGCAGCGCGCCCAGCACCTGCTTCCAGTAGTGCGCGCCGCGGGCCGCGTAGGCAGCGCAGCGCTCGGGCTCCCCGCGGTAGGCGCACTCCAAGAGCGCCCCGTCCGGGCTCTGGCAGCGCAGCGTCAGCTCGCTGCCCGCCGAGGCCCCCGGAGCTGGCCGCCGGAGCTGCCAGGTGCACGCGTGCTGCTCGGGGCCGACGAAGCGTCCCGAGGAGCCACCCGCCGGGCCACCGGCAGCCCCCTTGTCCCTGCGGGCGGCCGCGACCAGGCTGCCGCCCAGCAGGAACAACAAGAGCAGCGAAAGCGGCGCTTGCAGCCCCGGAGGGGTCATGGCTCGCGGTGTCCGCGCTCCGCTCTTCTGGGACTCTTGCACGGTTCTTCAATGGAGGCTGGACCAGTGGAGGAACACCTTCCCCTCCGCACCTGCGGACCAAGGTAGAGACCTTTCGTGACAGAGCCAGGTGCTTGCACTTGCCAAATGCTCCCGCCCCGACTCTGGGAAACTTTCCTGCTGCTGGCGGCTGGCGGCTGACCCCCTCGGAAGAGCTTTCCTAGGGCAAACTGTATCATCACGCTGCATCCATTTTTGCCTTCAGATTATTTTTGTTTCCCATGCAAGTTTAATGGCCAAAAGCAGCCAGTTTTCACCTCCGGCTCTGCCCTCACCCGCTCCCAGCTCCACCCACCAGGAAACTTGTCTAAAAATCACATCGGCAGGTGGCTTGGAAGCATCATCCACGTTTGCTACTTGGAACTTACCGAGTTCTGGGAGAGGTGCCGGCGCTCTGGTGGGACGGCGGGAGACACCGCGGAGCAAGCTGTGGGTTTGGGCCAGCTCCCAGAGAGTGGGCGTGTGATGTACAGGGCACAAGGGCCTCCCCCAGCTCGCCCCTCCCAGGCCTCCTGGCCACCCGCCCCCCACCACGCACCACACGTGGGCCAGAAGCGGCCCTGCGGCATGAAGTACAAACCTTGTGTTTTTCTTTAATGCTTAAATCAATCAAGGAAAATTCACCAGGTTTTCCCTTAATATAATCAGGAAAAAAAAAAGCTAAAAAAGCTAAACAGAAAGATTGAAATATTGAGAGATTTTTGAATGAGATGCAGCAACCTTTGAAAACAGTCACTGTTATTACACACTTAGATAATTTACATAGTTTCTTATAGAGTTCTGAGTCCTAGATTTTCACTCATCATTTTTGGCAAGTCTCTTTTTTTACCCTAACAACTTAGTAATTGCCTACTAATAAAAACACACGACCATAGTTCAAGCACTCCATAGTGTCCAGCCAAGCATCTTTCAAAATTAGAAATTTTAAAAATTGTATTATATCTGCAAGGTAATGTCGGTTCAAACAACATAGCATTTAAGAATTAATGTGATCTTGAATCTCCAGAATTGTATATTGCAACAAAACTTGCTTTTTTAACTTGAGGATTTCCCTCTCTTCCTCCCTTCCTTCTTTCCTTCCTTCCTTCCTCTTTCCTCTTCTTTCTTTCCTCTCTCTTTCTTTCTTCCTTCCTTCCTTCCTTCCTTTCTTTCTTTCTTTCAGCATCTTTGAAAGGAAGAGTTCAATGGGGGGGCATTGAGAAACAGGGAGATCTTCCATCAGCTGCTTCACTCCCCAAAGGATGGCTAGAGCCAGGTGCTGCACCAGGCAGTGGTGAGGGCAGAAGCTTCTGGGTCTGTCATGTGGGTATGGGGCACACAAATGTGCTGCTCTCCCAAGCACGTTCCTGGGGTGCTGGCTGTAAGTTGGCACCCATATGGGATGCCAGCGTCACAGGCTTAACTCACCATACCTCAGTGTCAGCCCCTTCCCATTCTCTCTCTCTCTCTCTTTAATTTGTGTTTTTAATGATGTCTACATAGTTGACCAAAGTGGGAAGAATCAAGGGTTAGGGGAAAGTGGGTGAAACCATAAGTTTCCAAATTTTCTTTCTCTTCCTGTATTTAGGGGAAGGGTGGAATTAAGGGGAGAAGGCTCTTGCAGCCTCTCAACCACTCCTGTAATCCAGGGATGGGAAACAGCCAACGACAGCATCCCAGTGTCCCTGACGTGGAGCATGTTCTGAGAGTTCTGCTTAAGTGGATTTGATATTGCTGAAATGCTATCATTCTTGCCAACCCAAGGATGAGGAAATCCTTCCAAGGTCCATTGGCTGACACAGTCCACCTTAGAGTCTCCATTTGCGTAGATATTTGCTGTCATCGTTTGGCTGGGGTAATTGTCAAATTTGTTCTGTCCTTCCTCTGCTATGTACCAGATGTCCTCTGCAGGCCCCAATGTGCTGCCATATCCGCTATGCACATCTGGGCCTGCCACCCACTGCCTCACCTTTTCCACTGAGGAGGCCCAGTTCACTCCACAATCAGACCATCAATCCCAGATGTGAACCTTCATGTTCTTGCACGCCCCACCTGGGCCATCCCCAGACTGCCTGCAACCCCACACACCAAGTCCCCACTAGGGCGACATTAGGCAGCCATAGGGCTTTGCCTGGTATTACTGGCACCCAGGACCCTCAACCCGGACCACCACACTGGACTCCATGCTCCCAGGGCTCATTGGCTTGTGCCCAGCCCTCATATCTTTAGGCAAAAAAAATTAATAAGCTAGGTGACTATGCTGGCTCACTGGTATTGTTAACACAGATTTGGCATTAACTAGGCCCAGGATGTCCACCACCAGCTATCAGCTGCATTTCTCTTAGCAGTTTAACACTTGCCTAGGTACAGTATAACTTAGTTCATTGCCCACAACTGGTGTTTACGTTATCCTTTTAAAGATGCTCTTAGTAACAAGTGCTGACATTCTTTACAAGGTCATGCCTCTGACTGTAATGACTTTTTGTGTAAGATATTTCTCTAAATTACTTTGAGAAGTCAAAAGCTCTCACAGCTCCTATTGTCTTCATTCAGATTGTTTTCTAAGACTGAATTCCCACCAGTACTGTAAAAACTAAAAATTATACTGTGAAAACTAAAATTTTCTAGTATTGGAGGAATATATTTAAATATTTAGTACTATATTAAATACTACTAATAATGTGTATTGATCTAAGAAACAAAAATATTATTTTTAAGAGATTTATTCATTGTTTGAAAAACAGAGAGAGAGAGCGAGCTTCCATTCACTGGTTCATTCCCCAAATGGCTACCACAGCTGGGGCTGGGCCGTGCTGAAGACAAGTGCCTAAAACTCCCTCTGTGTCCTAGGGATGGGCCAAAGCATGCGGGCCATCTTTGCCTGCTTTTCCAAGTGCTTTAGCAGAGCGCTGAATCAGAAGCAGAGCCTGAGTTTTTATGAGATGCCAGCATCACAGGCAGTGGTTTAACTCACTGTACTACAGCTCCAGCCCCTACTGCTCCATTGAATTGGTAAAATCACAGAAATTAAGCAAACTGCCCAACATCATACATATTTCAATAATAAAGCCATAAGCCAGCTGACTTATTTTTATTTCTTTAAAGTGTTATTTATTTGAAAGGTGAAGCCACGCAGAGAGATCGTCTGTCTGTTCATTTACCCTGTGACCACCTGGGTCAGGGCAAAGCAAGGAGCTCCAACCTCCGCTCTGGTCTCCCATGTGAATGGCAGACACTCAAGTGCAGGACTCACGGGTGCTTTAGCACGAGATCGGGTCTGAAGGAAATGTCACCGGAAGTAGGCAGAGAAGCCACGACCAGACCCAGGAACTCTGACAAGTGTTGCATTGTCCCAGGCAGGTTTTTGCTTTTTTTTTTTTTTTTTTAATGTTTGTTGCAAAGTCAGATATAGAGAGAGGAGGAGAGATGGAGAAGATCTTCTGTCCTCACTCCCCAAGTAGCAGTAATGGCTGGAGCTTTTAAGATTTATTTATTTCTATTGCAAAGGCAGATTTTACAAGGATAAGGAGAGACAAAGATCTTCTATCCACTGGTTCAATCTTAAATGGTTCACCCAACCACAAAGAGAAGCGCACGTTCCATGGTCTGACCATGGAGTGCAGGTGTCAAAGCTGAGCCTCCTCAGAGGTTCAGATGGAGCAGTGGAGAGCATATCCAAGTGCACATGGAGGATATGGCAGACCATAGGAACTTGCACAGGATACCCAGTACACAACAGAGAATGGAGGACAGAACAAATCAGTCAACTACCCCAGCCAGCACAGAGACTCTAAAATGGATTCTGGAGAGATCTCATTGTGTTTGGAACGGCGAGATTGGCAGCAATTCAGAACTGTTGACCTATCAAAACCACTTGAGCAGGACCCTGGGAGCATACCCCACATCGGGGGCCTGGGATGGGTGGGAGGCTGGGTGGGGCTTCTCCCTTTTTTTCCCCTCCTTACCCCAGATACAGAAAAAATAACAATAATAATAATATCGTGGAAACAATGGTCTTATCCACTTTCCTGTAGCCTTTGACCCTTTGTGCCCTAATCAGCTATGTAAAAATTACAAAATTAAAAAAAAAAAAAGGAAGAAAATGTTGCACAGATGAAATCCTCTTTACCCAGAACACTACTTGCATGATTAACCTCTGCTCTGGAGTTTCTTGTCATCTGACTAATCAAATTGGAATAGTTTTCAGCTAAAGCGTGACATCTTGTGGCGATATGCACTAATTACAATAAAACTATTAACAGTCAACTGAAAAATGGCAGAAAGCTGGCTTAGCTGTCAGAGAAACTTCTCAGGAAATAAAGGAACACAAATTTCTATGCTGTATCATAAAAAAAAAAAAACCTTTGTTTTAAAGAATATGATAGGGCCCGGCACAGTGCCCTAGTGGTTCAACTCCTTGCCTTTCACAAGCCGGGAACCATATGGGTGTCAGTTAATGTCCTGGCGATCCTGCTTCGCATCCAGCTCCCTGCTTGTGGCCTGGGAAAACGATTGCGGAAGGCCCAAAGCCTTGGGACCTTGCACCCGCATGGGAGGCTCAGCTGTGGATCGGCTCTGCTCTCGCCGTTGTGGTCACTTGGGGAGTGAATCAGCCAACGGAAGATCTTCCTCTCTGTTTCTCCTCCTCTCTCCATATCTGACTTTCCAATAAAAATAAATAAATCTTGGGTCCAGCACAGTGGCCTAGCGGCTTAAGTCCTCGCCTGGAACGCACTGGGATTCCATATGGGCACCAGTTCTAATCCCGGTAGCTCCACTTCCCATTCAGCTCCCTGCTTGTGACCTGGGAAAGCAATCAAGGACAGCCCAAAAACCTTGGGATCCTGCACCCACATGGGAGCACCAGAAGAAGTTCCTGGCTCCTGGCTTCAGATTGGCTCATCTCCAACTGTTGTGGCTACCTGGGGAGTGAACTAGTGGACAGAAGATCTTCCTCTCTG